ATAATAAATCTGATGTTGTATCCTCTGGAAAAGTGAAAATAAATACATAACTCATTTTGGAAAGGGATTGGATGCACCCCAAAACCTATCTATGCCTTTATTTTTTCAGTTATTGGGAGGTTATTATGAAAAATTGAAGGATTATTTCCCCTCCTCCTTGCATAGGGATGAGAAGTTTGGTGCACCACCAAATCTGAGGGATAACAAAGGGGTTTTTCCCAGGGTGGGTTTTTTTAATGTTCCCTTCTGGGGGGTTGGGTTTGAGGGGGTCATTCCCCCTCAACCCTTGCGGGGAGAATGTATTATTTTTCTAAAATTTTATTTTATTTATATCCTGCCTTTCTTCCCACAAAGATATGCAGAGTGTCATGCAGCAACTTAAAATGCATGTACTGTATAAGTAAAAATCACAATAAACGAAGACATTATCATGAAAACAGAATTAAACTAGAAGAGTGCTTAAAAAACTAGTCCTTACCCTTTTGCCTTGTACCAAAATAAAGTTTTTAAAAACTTGGGGGGGGATGTTTCCTAAGGCCTCCGTTGTGGGGGATGTCATTCTTCGCAAAAAGACCCCAAACTCTGGTTCTGTGAATGGGGAGGGGGGAGAGAGATGGCTGTGTGGAAAGGGATGGCCCACCCCATATCATAAATGGGGTGGATGGGTAACTAACCCTCCCCAAATTTTGCCCATATTGGACAAACAAAAAACCAATTTCCAGTATCAGGAATTAAAATTTGTGTGTGGGGACATCCCCCCCCCCAGTTTTCTGCAAGCCTGAAAAATATTTTCCCTCAGAGACCCCTTTTTCTATGAGTGGACACTCTTTCCCCCCCCACACACACACTCTATTTTCATTGGGGGGGGCTATGAATGCCCCTGAATTTATATTTTAGGAGTAAATGTTGCTTAACCCTCTTTTTGGGGTACTTCATTGACCCCACCAGTTCCACAATGTGGCTTTTCTCTGTGAGGTAGCACTCCCCCCTCCCACAAGGGATTATCCCCCAATTTCTACTCTGCTCCCCAAATATAGGGAGATCATCCCATAATTCACACAACCAGAACTTTTGTGGGATAAAAATGAGGCCCCTGAAGTTTTCCTCTCTCTCTCTCTCTCTCTCTTTTTTTAAAGGAGATGTGCTCCCTTTTTCCCTCCCAGGGGGAAGTCAAATTATTGGGGTGCTTATATTGGGGTGCTTATTTGTTTCCCCGGCTGACAAAATGGGGCAAATTAGGGAACCTGCCCACTTATGTGGGGAGAGAGAGATTCATTTTGCCTCATAAGCCTCACTGACATAAATGGACTCCTTTCCCTCCAAAATGAGTTTTGTGAGGGGGGGAGTTGACACCCCCTTGCCTTTTTTGAGGGGAAAACAAGGGAGGATTCATTACATGGGGGTTCTAATTATCCCTCCCCTAATTCTAGTGTTCCCTGTTTCCTCAAGCCTGAAGGGGGAGGCCCCTAATATCTGTCTCCCCCCCCTTTTTGCTCCTCATGTGAGGTAATTTGAGGGACAATTTTCCTCAGACCTCTTGTTTATTTGTGGGGGTGGGCGGTTTCCTTCCCTTCATTTCTAAGGGGAATTTTCCCCCAATTTTATTTCTTTTTGGAAAAAAAACCCTTTTTAATTCTAATATTTATTACTTGCAATATTTTTTCAGTATTAGGAGTTCCTTTGTTTTTAAATCATCCCCCTGCACCCTTCCTACAAATACTACCTCTTCTTTTTCTTCCCCCCTCCTTTAAAGAGGTGAGGAAATGTCTTACCCCCCCCTCCCTTCTTCCAGTTTTTCCTGTTACAAGGCTTTTATCTTTTTAATTGCATTTTATTTTTCGCCGTGTGATGACATGGGTGAGTGGGAATTTTGCCCAGACATGGATTCATTTTTGAACAGAGACAGGAACAAGTTTTCACCTCATCTAATTTCAACAACACTATACTTTTTTAAAATATTTAAATTAATTTTCTTTATTACACTTATGTAGTAAGTTCATTAGTATGGTGTTTTTTAACTCTCTCCCCCTCCCCCCTCAAGTTGTGTTATAAGTCAAGAGAAAGTGCCATGAAATTTACATTTCTTGCCATTTTTTTCACTTCATTTTGTGAGGGGGGGTTGAGGTAAAAGTTTGAATATTTTACTCAGTTTTTAAAGGAATAGGTCCAATGCATTGCACTTTCTTTTCTTCTTTTTTAATTTATTTCTTGTGATTTCATGTTACAGAGTTTCCTCTCCTGTCATCCTGCCATCTTCATCATCATCATCATCACTATTTTAGTGGGCTGGACAGTGATACAAAATAACAGATTCATATTGTTTATGAGGATAAGATTTACAGCACTGTCTTATATAGGTACATTCAGAGTTGAGCCCCACTGTGTTCAATAAACAGAACCAAATCTAGCCTTAATTAACAATACACTAGTTGAAATTAATGTGGGATATAAATTAATGCCAACTAGCCCACCTTGTTCATTTCAGTGGGTATACACAGTTTAGGATAAAACTTGGTTTAACTCCCCCTTCCCCATCAACTCAACTCTATATGGGATTTATTTATTTATTAAATGTATACCCCACCCATCTAGACACAAGTCTACTCTGGGCGGCTAACAATAAAAATAGAATAAAAACAGTATATTAAAATAAAAAGCAACAATAGTAATATGGTTCAAGATGGGGGGGGGGAAATAAAAATAATCAAGGGATTCCAGCTTTAGTATAAAACCTATTTAATTTGGTTCAGCTAAAATTAAATATTTATTCATACTGCTGTTCACTTTAGGGGTTATCTTTGTGAGTTTGTTTAAAGGGCTGCATGCTTTTCTTGGGGATTTTATACACCGAACTGTCTTTTCAGATTGGCTATTTTGAGAGTTGTGGATTATTTATTTCCAGTTATTTCATGGCTCCCCTTTTTCTGGGCAAGCTTCACTTGAGTACTTTTTTTTTTACTGGAAAGGTGGGCTGTAAATGCAGTATATTATTTTATTTTTATTTTGGTAGGAGGGTGGAAATTAAAGGATTTGAAAGGGGGTGCAGTGTCCCTCCAAATATCCTTGAGAACACAGATCTCGTCTGAACTCTGAAGTGAAGTAGGTCTAGGGGTGCAGGGCCATGCATGAGGTCCTGTCTTGATTGGTGCCAGTCCTCGTGGACAGTGGGAAGGGGAGGCTAGGTGGACCAAGGGTCTCATGCAATCAAAGCTGCTTCCAGTGTCCCTGAATGATATTTCACACGTCTGTCTTTTCCTTCCTTTTCACCTTGCAGGCAGGAAACAAAGAGATACGTTAAAAAGGGGGGTGCCAAGGGAAGAAAGACTCAAGGATGCCCAGGCGGAAGGCAACAGCGGCAGCCTCCTCCACGGCCTGGGACAGTGCCAGCTCAGGCAATGGTACCCGCAAACGGCCAGTCTCGACCCGTGGGGTGTCCTTTCCAGCCAAGAAGAAGACTCGCGATGTTGGAGGAAGTAGCAGCAGCAGCAATAACGGGGGCGGTGGCAGCAGCGGTGACGAACGGGACGGCATGACGTTGCCCCCTGCCACGGCCACACCAACGGCAGCAGGAGTGGGCAAGAAAATGGCCCGGTCTGGAGGAGGAGGAGGAGGGCGTGGGGCGGCGGACCAGCAGCTCCACCAGAACCAGCAGGCTACAGTGGTGGTCAATGAGCCAGAGCACAGCAAAGAACGCATTGTAAGGATGTGGAGGGGGGGTGCTCTTCAGTCTGGTGGGGCAGAAATACTAAATTGGTCCCCAGTTTATCTTCACAACAATAATTTGGGGATAGAAGTCCTCACCTGTACACCCTCAAGCCATCCACATGGGAGGTCCATATGACTCATGTGCTAGCCAGCCAGTTAAAGGGTTTTAAAGTTCTGTGCTTTTTCGGATTTTCAGGCTGACTTTTAATTTAAGTGCTTCTAGTGGCTGACTCCCTGAAACTGCCTACAACTAGAACCAATATCCCCCTTTTTTTCCTCCTCTCTCTTACACAGAAACTTGAAGGGTCCAAGTTCAAGGGGCAGCTTTTAATATTTGGAGCAACCAACTGGGACTTGATCGGCCGGAAAGAAGTGCCTAAGCAGCAAGGTGGGTGGGGTGCTGCTGTGCAGATCCTTCTTAGACAAAACTACTTGTTGATTTATGTCTCTCTGTGTCTAAGCATGTTTTACAAACATTTATATTCTACTGGACATTTTGCAAGGATGATTTGCTGTTTGAATGGTTTTCTGGAGGGCATCTGTTTAGAGAGAGGTTTAACATATTTTTGTTTCCAAGCGGTACTATTTCCTTTTGTATGGTACAATACATTTATGTCTTTCACTTTTACAGCCCTTTTTTGCAAAGGGCTTTGAATGAATCTAAATTTCATCTGACTTTATCTAAAGTATTCTTACTGTTATTTTTAAAGTCATATAAAGTTTTTTCTTTCTAATTTTCAGAGAGGTGTTATGCTTTGTCATTTGGCCCATTGATGATTCAGAGCAGGAGTGTTGTCCTTTGGGCTGGCAAAGCTGGTGTAAACAGAGAACAAAAAAGCATCTGTGAAAGTTAGAAAACCGTGTAGAGGTTTTCACCCACTGAAGAGAACAGCCTACAACTTAAAATTAGTTTTCTTGACCATCTGTCTCATGCAAGGCAATGCAGCTGACTTATTCTTGGTCTAATTATGTGAGCAAAGGAGGAGTCACCATTGTTATGTCTAGACACCCTTGGGATCTTGGCTGCTGGTCAAAAGTTATTAGCACTAGGTTTGGGCGTCCATGTAGAAATGTAGTGTGTCCTGTGTGAAAGGGTGGGTTTTTTAAATTATATATTTGTATGCGAGAGTATTTAATTAAGCAAGCTTCTACCTACCGTTTAAATTGATACAGTCCCAATCTTGGATCGAGAAAAAGAGACCTGTGTCCTAAGAACAGCAAGAATCTTGAATCCTGTCCTCTGACAAAGTAAATCTAGCTTTTATCTTTTTTGCCACTGTGCTAAATTTTCCATGCTCCAGATCTTTTAATTTTATACTTGTAAGTGGTTTCAGTTTAATGCTTTTCTCCTGAGCAGAGTTCCCAAAGAAAGGATTTTTTAAAAACAGTTTTAATAGCCCATCTTTAAAAATCCATTGCTCTCTTAAGAACAATTTGGTGGATATTGTTTGTGGGTTTTAACCCCTGTATTATTGAAATAAGGCTTTAGAACCTACAACTATGGGGGAAATAGTTCACCTCTTAAAAGGATGTTTTTGAAAAACTTTTTGTTGAGTACAACCCTTGCCATCAGATAGACCTCTCTTAGCACAGCACTGGTGTCAGTCCCTCAGCTCAGATTCTGCTCCCTTTGTTTTCCTGTCTGAGTTTTAAGACATCTGAGCTGAGTATCTTATCTGCACCAAGAGAAGAAGTGGAAGGGCAAACTCACGACTTGCAAATCTCTAAAAACTTCTCTTGCAGCTGCATACCGTAACCTGGGCCAGAACTTGTGGGGGCCCCACAGGTATGGAAGTCTCTCAGGAGTCCACGTCCGGACAGTGGTTTCGGGACCATGTGCTGCTCACAGTCTCCTTATCACCACCGAGGGGAAGCTCTGGAGCTGGGGTGAGTGCCTTGAGTTTCTTGAGTGCAGGGCCGGCCCTACCACTAGACAGAGTGGAGTCATGTCCTCAAACAATAAATTCTGAGGTGGGAAGCAGGAGCAGGTTACTTAGCTATTCCTCCCAAGCTCCCTTGCTCTTCACATCTGTGTGCCACAAGGATTTGTGTAACTAGCCCCTCTTGCAACAGTTTTGGTAGTGTGGAACAGGTATATAAAGTATGCAAACCAAATTGCTCTGACTTTTCTAAAGAATGCAAAACTTAACTGTTCAGTTGGTTCTGTGGCTAATTCAGCAATGGCTCTTTTTAAAGAAAAAAAATGTAGTTTTGAGGAACTGCCTATCTGTGGTCCTCGAAGCACCTTCTTTGTCGGTGTATCTCTCTCTAGGACGTAATGATAAAGGGCAGCTGGGCCATGGAGATACCAAACGAGTGGATGTGCCTAAGCCCGTTGAAGCTCTTAGCAATGAAATTGTTGTTTCAGCAGCCTGTGGACGAAACCACACGCTAGCCCTCACAGGTACAAGAGAGCTGTTTCTTTCTTTCTGTTTGTGTGTATCAGCTGTTGTGTTTTCTTTCTCTTCCCTTTCCCTGCTGGCTGGGCTGCTGTGATGTCATAGACTACTCACCAAGACCTTTAACAGCTCAGAAGAAAGCAGGCAGGGATAGAATGGGTTGGAAGAAACAGATCTGTGAACAGAGAAGAAAGAATCGATGTTACAGGATTCCCTGTAACATCTTTACCCTTAGGGTAAAGCAGGGGTGTGTGCTGTGTACAAATCAGGAAGTCTTGAGTTACAGAGCCAAGAGTGGTAAGGGGAATTTGTTCCATCTTTGCATTCCAGAAAATGGTTCTGTGTTTGCTTTTGGAGAGAACAAAATGGGGCAGCTAGGCCTCGGCAATCAGACAGATGCAATTCCCAGCCCCACACAGGTAGGTCTCACACTATTTTTTTTTATTTGTCCATTTTTAAAAGTAGATTGAGAACAGATTTCAAGTGTAACATCCTCTATTTATTCATTTGGCTAATTTAAACTCACAGATGACTAAAAGCAGTTCTTTCTGTTCTGAGGAAAAGGCTCCATACTTACCAAGTGGAAAGATCTCGACACCTTTTGCACAGATTTTGAAAAATGTAGGTTCTCGTATGAGTGAGAGGTAGTGTTCTTTAAATGTACAAATTTATTCAGACCTCATAGCTAATTAGAGAGGCATAATTACAAGACCAGCTGGCTGGATAGCTCGGTGAGTTAGGTCTCTGGCTGCAGAGCAACCTCTGGCTCTGCGGAGCCGGAGGTTGGGAGTTTGATTCCTCCCTGTGCCTCCCAGGAAAAGAGACATCTTGTGTGGCTTTGGGACAAGCTACATAGTCCTGAAAGAAGGGGCTGGTAAATTGCTTCTGATTATTCTCTACCCAGAAAATCCTGGAAAGGGCTGTCATGAGTCAGCCTTGACTTGACAGCATGTGGTTCTTATTAATTACAGGACCAGCCTTCCTAGCCGGTGTAGCCGGTTGTAAAGCTGAAGGGAATATTTTTCTGTACTTTTTAAAATGGCCCTGTTTTTAGATCATGTATAATGGCCAGCCGATTACCAAGATGGCATGTGGTGCTGAATTCAGTATGGTGATGGACTGCAAAGGAAACCTGTATTCATTTGGATGTCCTGAATATGGACAGCTAGGTATGCCATTATTTTCTCAGCAGTATTGCAAAGTTTTTGGCTAGAGGGTCTTCCTCCATCTCAAAGCATCCTTCCCTGTTTTTCTTAGCTTTGATCTCTCTCCTCCCAAAACAGGGCACAACTCAGATGGGAAGTTCATCGCCCGTGCCCAGAGGATAGAGTATGACTGCGAACTGGTTCCCCGTCGTGTTGCCATCTTCATAGAGAAGACAAAAGACGGTCAGATCCTGCCTGTTCCAAATGTAGTAGTGAGAGATGTGGCCTGTGGAGCAAACCACACAGTAAGAAGGCCGGGATACATTTGGCAGGAAGGAGCCGAATGTATTCTCTTCTGTTCATGGAAATCAGGTGTATTTTTAAAAAATACCTAGTTGTTCCTGTTATGCCAAGCAGGAGAACAGATGAGTAACAACATCTAGAAAGATGCTGTAGCTTTTCATTATAACAATTACAAGACCTTGAGAAATGGAATGCATTTGGATGTCACCATAAGTCATGGCTTGTGTTAATCACAGTTTGTGGTTTAAGGCAAAAAGTGAACTGCATATCTTTATTTAGATATGGGTTGCCTTATTCTTATGATCTGGTCCCTTCCTTTTTGTCAGGTCCTGTTTTAGGAAGCATGGCTGGAAACAAGCTGGGAACAAAACAGGGCTTCAGGTTTTGTTGTCACAACAAGCCATGATTCAAAAAAGACAGAGTTTATAATCCAACCACAGATTCAGAGTTCAGATTGTGTTTTGTGCCTTGTTAGCCACCTGTGTGGCTTGTAACGGGATGTTTTTTCTCCTTTTCTATCACAACCAATTTCCGTGAACTCCATTATATAAAAGCATAATCCCTGTATGTGACAGTTACTCTCCATATCTGATACAAAAACAACTTTTTGCATCCCTCTAAGTGAAAACAAGCTTATCTTTATATTCACGTTCCCATTTATGTTTTTTCTTTCTCTCTGTTTAGCTTGTCTTAGACTCACAAAAACGTGTCTTCTCGTGGGGTTTTGGTGGCTATGGGCGACTGGGCCATGCTGAGCAAAGGGATGAGATGGTACCACGTTTAGTGAAGCTTTTTGACTTCCCAGGTCGCGGTGCTGCACAAATCTATGCTGGTTACACTTGTTCCTTCGCAGTCAGTGAAACAGGTGAGCTGTGACCAGCCGAGATATGAAGCTCTTTGACTATTAAAAAAAAAAGAATAAACATATTTTATACCCTGTTGCTGTATCTTTTGATTGTAAAAAATGGCTCATCTTATTTAGTTTATTTAATTATTTATTTTTCTAAAATATTTTTATTTTTAAAAGGACCCAAGGTGGCCTGTCCTCTTGTTGACATGTACTTTTTTGCAACAATAAATTAACACATCCAGACAGTGAGAACTGCATAGTTGAAGCCTATATTACATGAATGATGTGTTTGCACACCACAGCAAGCTGTTGATTTTGTTACCTGTAGTTTGCTGCTTAAGTCACAAATTGCAGCACAGAGGAGAAAAAAAATGTGACTTATCTCCCCTGTTTCTGTTGTGGTTTCGGCTTGCACCTACTCTTGTTCCTTTTGTTGTGGAAAAGTTAGGGATGAGCCACAGTCAGGGCTTCAGATAGCAGAAGCCAGAATTTGTGAGCCAACAAGAAGGTTGTGATTTCATATTGTGGTTTCTGGATGGTTGGCAAAGCATCTGAGATTTTTCAGCAGGACAACAAGACAAGTTTCAGCAAACCAAACCGTGGCTTGTCACATTTGGTGAATGCAATTGGAGAAATATCTCCCCTTCCCCCCCACCCACAGAGAGTGATGTCCATCCAAAATCATAAAAGAGGTATCAAATACTAGCATTTTGAGAGGGTATGCTTAATTTTTGTCATTGCTAATAACGAAGAATATCTCAATTATAAGATCAGTTTAAATGCACAGGGAACTTGCTTCTCGATATCCCCAAACACAGCAGCTTTTGCTCCAGTGCTTACTCTAAATTGCATGTCATGTGATTTTGCTCTTTTGTTTCACCCTACAGGTGGCTTGTTTTTCTGGGGGGCTACAAATACCTCCAGGGAATCCACAATGTACCCCAAAACTGTGCAGGATCTTTGTGGCTGGAAGATTCGCAGTCTGGCTTGCGGGTAAGAAATGATAACTATATGCTTTCCTCTATTTCAAGAAAAAACATGATGGTTGAGGAAGGTAGGTCCCAGTAAGAAGCCAGCATTTGCTGATGTCTTTGTTTCAAACAGTCTCTTAAAAAAAACAAGCTCCACTTTCTGTGTCTCTCTCACACACACACAAACACACACACATAGAGAGAGAACTGGGGGCTTGACTATTTGTGTTGTAATATTGTTGCTGTTATTAATGCAGATATTTGAAAACTATATTTTAAGATTATTCAGTGAGTAACTGAATTCTCTACAGAATTAAAAGCTGGAGAAGCAAGAAGGCTACCAACATTACTAGAATAATTCTGAAATATGCTTACTTTTTGTTGTTCTGTGCTCTCTTTTGTTTAATTCATATGGTAAACTGCCACTTAATTCAGCTGATTGTGTTGATATGCGAAAGATAAGAAAGGTGATCTGCTAATGCCCCTTCTCCACTTCCAAAGCCTGTTAAAAGGATGCCTTTTTCTTAATTATATGGATTTGTCCTGAATCTCTTTGCTTCTTTGATAGGCAGGATTACTTACCTTAATAAGGGAATTGCTTTCTTTATTTCTGGTAATTGTTGCTTTTAAGAGAGCATTTCCTGTTTTAATGGGCTTGGAAATTATTCCAGAACTGTTGCTTTTGTTTTGAGGATTATTTCAACTGTGTGAAGTACTTCTAAAATGATGTAAGATCATGATTCACTACATTTTAGTCCTGGAGAAGTTCCAGGACTCAGGCTTTTACTTTCAAGAAAGCAAGGACTGGAGTCTCTCTTTTCAAAAAAATGCATAGATTCAGCCCAAAATGGTTGTTACTTGCATGAGTAAAGCTCTCCCTGACTCCATTTAATGATGGACAGAATTTTGCTTTGATCTCTGAATTATTTTTAATAGATGGGCAAGGATGTTTCACTTCCAATTATTTAAAAACAATGAAAACAATATAATTAAAAAAGACTCCCTTCTGTCCAAAGTTTTACTAGTGAAATGAAGAAGGATTAGAGTAACCAAGAGCTGATTCTTGTGTGTGTGGACTGCGAGTTGTGTACATTTTTGGAACTCAGAGCAAACACTTAGAACCTTTTCTTCAAGGCATCTGTCTTTTTGCACCAGGCTCTGGCTTGTAGATCTCAAGATGCCTGCCCATTGCTAGATTAGAGTGTTAAAATTAGGATCTAGAAGGCTCTGATTCTAATTTCCACTTGGCTATGAAAGGTGACTTTGAGGCAGTCACTCTCCTTCAGTCTAATCTACTTTGCAGGATAATTCAGGAAATATGTTTCCCAGGTTTGGAGCCACCACTAAAAAGGCCTTGCTGTTAGTAGCCACTTCCAAAACCAGGGAAACCTTGTGGAGGGTCCTCAGTAAAGATGCTTCTTTTTTTCCCCAGGAAAAGCAGTATTATAGTGGCCGCAGACGACAGCACAATCAGTTGGGGCCCATCTCCGACCTTTGGAGAACTGGTAAGCAAGGATCCATAGCTGCTGCACTTATAGGCTGGAGGGAGAAGCATTACAGTGTTCCTTGGTTTGTCCAGTGTGTTTCCTCTGGATGTTTGTCTTGCTTGTGAAAGGAGACCAAGCAAGAACTGGGAAATTCAGCAGTTGGAAACTTGCTTTTCACGTCTTCCCCCATCTACCACCACCAGGAATATCCCTGTAGCCTGGTAAATACCGTAATTTTAACAAGAACAACAGTTAATTAAAGCATAAATTCTTTAAAACCATGGTAGTTGTAATAATCGAAGCTAATTGTGTTCAACTCATTTGTATACAAATATAATATGCATTTTAATGTGATGAAGGTCAGATAACGGAAGAGAAATTGCTCTGGTAAAGTTACATTACAATCATGTGTAGACTGTGAAAGACAAAACACCAGCACTTGAATGCAGAACAGAGGATGAAAATGGGTAGTTATTCCTCTTTTTTAATAAGATTTTAATCAAGTTTGAGTTTATAACTATTGAAATCTCATCTTCATGGCTTCAGATCAACTAGTCTCATTTGATTTTATATTCAAGTTTTCCTCCCATTTATTTTCAACTCCTTGCCATATTAGAAGTTCTAACAAAACAAACAAAAAAGACCAGACACTGGGGATTTAAAAAAAGAACACTAGAAAATAAAATGTGTTTAGGTGACCTTAAAAAACCACACACATCAGGATGTAAAAGTTCATCAACCTGAGCCATCTTGCAATACCCTCTTGTGAGTTAGAGAGTGTATCATAATGGAGAAATGGCAGGCTTTCTTGCATGGAAAACATACTGGTGCCTTGTATATTTCTTTCCTTCACTGCAGTTGGATTCTTTGGGGTAGAATCCATGTTACATGCTTTGTATCACATGCCCTTGAGAACCACTAATGGATTCTCTAGTCCCTAATTGTTAATTGCTCTGGAGCCTGTCTGGCGTGTGTTCTTGAGAGGCATTTGGGTGTGAGAGTGCTGCGATGCAGAAGATGCTCCTTTTAAAAATATATGTTTTAAATAGAAGAAGCACTTTGCCGTCCAGTTATTGCCAGTTTATCTTCTTAGATTTGTACATGTCTGATTGTGCCCTGGGATGCAGAACTGTGTGCAGTAAGGTTATGAGCATTGACATTGAAGGAACTGCTGGAGAGCTCAGTGGTTTAAGGCATCTGGCTATGGAGCCAGAGACTGGGAATTCAATTTCCCCAGGGTGCCTCCCTGACAGGGGCTGGACTCAGTGATCCACAGGGTCCTTCCTGGCTCTGCAGTTCTAGCATTAGGTAGATAGTGTGTGTTTTGTTTTGCTTTTTTGGTTAGGCTCCCCGTGATTTCTCTGGGGTTTTTTTATAAGCAGTTTGAAGTTTCAACTACCTGTTATCATGACTCCTTACCCAGCCAACATACCCTTGAATTTTCAGCCTCTGCTTCTCACGCATGTGGATTTGCCCCTGCATGCACACATGACTCCACCCCACCCCCCACGACACTGGGTTCCTCTGCAATGAGAACCTAATGCAATCGCTCCGTGGAGGAGGATTTCAATGCAGAAATTAGTGTGTGTCATGATTGGAACCTTTGGACCAAGAGAATAATGCATGAAAGCAGCCTTGAGACTGGCAGTGGTTTACATTGTGGTCTTCTCCAGTACATGATGGGTCACAGAGAGCCTTCTCAGTTCTGATCTGAAGAGAGACTGAATTATACTCACTTGTGTGTGTGTGTGTGTGTCTGTGTGCTTTTTTTAAAAAAAGGGCTATGGAGACCATAAGCCGAAGTCCTCAACGGCAGCTCAAGAAGTGAAGACTTTGGATGGGATTTACACTGAGCAGGTAACAGCAGATATGGCACCAAGGAAGTCTCTTTCTCTCTTCCTCCCCACCCCCCAGCATGGCACATTGTTGTTGTTTTAACCACCTACTTCTGGAGAACTCTAAAGCTTGCACTCCAGTACGAAGCTGTAATTGGTCCTAATGCCAGAGCACCGTAGAGGACCGACTCTACAAAGCAAGCCTCAGCCTTGAGTTTGGAAGACCTGAACAGGCCTGAGTATGTGGTGATTGCTGATGTATGGAATTGTTGCCATTGTCAGCAGAACAGAACATACTCAGAAATACTCTCCAGTCCCCTCCAGTGCCCAATTCTGATACTGCATTTGGAAAATACTGAACAAAAATGCAAAACATGGAACAAAACACTATTCTCTTACCACTTAAGGTTGATAATGGCATAGTCCTTGTCTGTTGACTCTAAAACTGTCTCCAGTGTCCTTTAAAAATAACTTTCTAAAGCAACTAGAAAGCACTGCTGGTCCTAGGAGGTTGCTTTTGTGTTACTTTTGGAAGGTAGCTTGGTTAGAGTCTCATTACCTGTAGTTTGGAGTGCTGCCTGAGACTAATGCTTGCGTGCTCATGGACCTTGTGTATGTCTTTTCTCCATTCAGGTGGCCATGGGCTATGCGCACTCCCTGGCAATCGCCCGGGATGAGAATGAAGCTGAGAATGAGAAGCTCAGAAAGCTGCCAGAGTACAACCCTCGCACACTCTGACGTAGGGCGTGGGTCTTTCCTGCACGCGCGCGCGCACACACACACTCTCTCAGTGAGGCAGCTGCCGTGTCTGACTGTGCCCTGGGATGCAGAGCTGTATGCGATAAGGTTATGGACATCAACTTGTGGGTTTTTTGTTAGGCTACCCAGGATTTCTGGTTTTCTTTTTTATAAGCGATTTGAAGTTTTAACTACCTGTTACCATGGCTCCTTACCCAACACATGCTTTCTTGATGATGGCTTTTTTTGTTTTTTGTTTGTTTGTTTTTGTATTTTGTGTTTTGTTTTATTTGGGGCTGAGGGTGGGCAAGGGAGTATGTGGAAGAGATCTGCTCGTTGTCTGGAATAACTGTTCTAGCGAAAATGGCAGAACCGTTTATCAATATTTCCTTTCCCTCTTGCTTATACCAATTTCAGCTATGCTAAACAGTGGACCAGCCTATAAGAAGGATGGAAGTAGCCCTTTCTCAGCTGCAGTGAATATTCTTTTTCAAGAAACAGCCTGAAATCTGTATTTTGTCCTTAAGAAATCAGGCCTGATCCAGAAGCTGTTTGCTAATTATGTAGTTCTACCCTTCCATCCTTGTCTGTTTGAACATGTTGGAACTCAACTTCCTACAGGGACACAGCCCCCTGGAGATGTATACTAGCTCCTTGGCATGGTTCATACTGGCATTTTAAGGTTGGAATTTACATGTTTTTTTCATGTTTGCTTCAAGGTAAGCATTACGTCTTCCTATATATTTGTGTATGGCAAACAGTTCCTTTTGGCTTACTCATGGATCGTCAAACATCGTGTAATTAATCCCCCCCCTTTCTGTCCGAGGAACGGATCCCTATTGAGAGCAAAGGAGTTTTAGCTTCTAATTATCAGGTCGGTCAACCACAGGAGGGCGCCTTTGGATAACAGCATCACATCAAGTACAATAAACTTGTGTTTGCTGGCTCAGAAAATTAAAGAGAACCTTGCCTTTTAGTTGAAGAGGGACTCCCCCCCCTTTTTTTTTCTCTTTCTAGCAGGCAAAGAATCCTGATCCAGATACTTGAACTGAAAGAATCTCCATTTTCTCCCCCACAGATCTCTTCTGTTTTTGTTCTGTCTTTACAGATCATTGTGAAATAATGGCTTAATGGGAGGAAATCCTGCACCCATTTGTGGTGCTTCAGGTTTCCAGCAGTTTAGCATCCCTTAGAGCTCCCTAATTCCATGTCTGTGGGAACCCCTAATGTAAGGAGTGCTGGGCATCACAGGTTCAGTGCCAGGCCTTTGGAATATTTGTTTTCTTATGTTACATGTGCTCAGCTTTTCTTGAAAAAGGATCAAAACAGAAGTTACAAAAGGTTTACAGTTCTCCCACACCAGGCCCAGAGGTCTGGATATATCCTGTACTTGCATCCCCACGGCAAACCTATTAAATACCAGCTATTTCTTATGTTCCCAATGTCCTGTTTCTTGTATTGGAGAAATTTGGTGCCTTGTAAACAGAACACACTGCTCTGTGTCAGTGTAAGCCCAATCTTTTCTTTAAAAAAAGTATTCCTATGTCTCCGTTTCCCCACACACAGCCTTCATAGCATTTCTGTCAGATAAATATCTACAGAGGCAAATGTGTAAGTTCAGAATTTTGGGGTTATATGGGAAGACTGAGTAGAGCTAAAGAGGGGAAGGGGAGATGCTGTTTATTGCATTATTATTTGCCTTTGGGGTGGAAGAAGTTTGGATTAAAATGTATACACACAGTTTGCTTGTATTTATGCTCCTGTTATCTGTTTAGGCCAGGTTTGTCCAATATGTTCCCTTACCCCAACACCATGATTTCTGACACACACACACAATTACTAAGATCTGAATCTGAAACAGAAGCACCTTGAAAAGAAGACAGCTAACTGGACCATACTTGGGAATAATTTATTTTGAGGGGGAGGGGGAAGTGGAAGGGAGAAGACAAAGGCATATTCCACCTTCACCAAAGAAAAAGTGTATATGTCCATGTGTGTTAAGTAAAAGACTTGTTTGGGCACACTGCTTCCTGTCCAGCAAAAATTCTCCTGACGACTCCTTTCTTTTGTGTCTTTCTCCTGGCCTAGAGGAGGAGGACTCACACAAAAAAAACAACCTTGGTTTTACACAAGGTGGGAAATTTTCCTTGGCCTACTGCTGTCACCCTTGCTTATTGTCCTCTCCCCTTTTTTTATATTTCTCAAAATAAATGTTTAAATAAACAATGGAATTGACTGTAGACCATAAGATGTCTTCCTTTCTCCCTTGGTACTGATCCAGCTTTAAATAGTTCAGAAGTTTGTGTAATATCTATAACTTAATCTGGACGTATTGCACAGGAATTTGGTTACACAACATAAGCCCACCTGAAGTATTGAGAGCGCTTCATTTGTGGCATTCTCTGCCGTTGGATAGCCCTGCATCTGGCACTAACAGAAAACAAGACCATTTCACAGATGGTAGCAAGGTAAGCACTTGCTAGTAAGCCTGTAATGTGACTTGCATTGGCTCTGAGGGTGTGTTTTGTGACCTGCTTTACAACAAAGCGGAACCCTGAAGTGGGATCTAGGGGGAAAAAAACTGATTCCTGAATGCCAAGAGTTGGGTGCAAACATGAGACTTTTAGGAACTAGAGGTGAAAAATATTGCATGTCAGCATAACAGAATTGAGTCCTGGGTCCTAAACATTTCTTGTACAGTACTAGAAATGGATGGGACAGCAAAAGAAAAAAGAAAAAAAAGATGGGACAGGGTGGGCGGGAGAGGAGGAGAAAAGCAAACTGAGTTACTAGATGCCAGTTAAACTTCTTTCAAGTGTTGTTCTTGGTTGGAGAGAGGAGAAAGATGTTCCCTGAAATGCTTTGGATGCTGAGAGGAGATTGTGGTCACATGAAAGGGCATCCAACACTCTTCATAGGCTGTAGGACCCTGATCTCTCTCTCATACACTCACACACACAAAACAGCTTTTCAGTGCTCATGAAAAAAAATACTGAGGCCTCCCAGTTCTCGACGACTCCTTTCTTTTAGGTGATCTGCTAGGCTAAGGTGATCTGCTCCTTTGCAGGACTGGCCTTTCCATTAGCTAGCGTGACTTCAGCTGGCAGACACTGGGAAGTAGCAGCAAGGTACTGGGAGGAGAGCTGTGCCACATAGCCTCCCTTGCACCCTTGTGTGGAGAAGAATTCTACCCTTCTGTGGTCTTAAAAGCTTCAATTGCTGCCCTGGTAGGCTTTTAGTGTGACGGGGGTTCATTGGGAAGAAGAGGATCATCTTTACCTCAGATGGCAAAATGGCTTCTTGTACGTATTTCAGGGCCAAGCATTTGCTTTAGGATTAATTCTTACTAATCCCAGTTTTGTGAGGGCTGTCTCTCTCACTTGGTACTCTTGACTGATAAACTAGTAAAATGCATATGAATAAGCTCCCAGCCTCTTAGCAGTGACCTTATTCAACACTCAGTTTAGTTTTCGAAACTTTATTCAAACTGCTTTTAAAAACACTTCATAAGCAAATATATATCTATTCATCTGCTAGCATTTCTTTTAAAAAATCAGCAACGGAGGTATCTGATTGGGTAGTATTTCATTTTCCTATAAATCACAAAAAGAAATGTATATTTTCACACTCATGTCAACATGATGACATCATGTCACCTTTTCTTGGAAGGAGAATGAGGTGGTGCTGAAATTTTTGGACTACTCCCCCATCCTGATCTTCAACCCTAAATCTGGCTCTTTGAGGCTGTGAGCTGCAACCTAGAGATGGTGTTCGAGTTTTTGGTCTTTCTGATGTATTCACTGTTAAGCCCCAGCACTACTGCAGAGACTGAAATCTCGAGATGCTGGTCGACTAACTTTCCATAACACTGGTCTCGGGGGCAACAATCATCATAAATTTACTTATCAGCCAGGGACCTATTGGGACATGAAATGTGTCGTTGGACCTCCCATAACTAGTATTAGGGATAGAGTGTGTGAGAGAAAGTGAGCGTAGAGCTTGAAGCTGGTCAAGGTCACAGGAGATGGTGAGGGAAGAGGACTTCATGTATTACTGGGAGCAGACACCAGTGAGATTCTTTGGAAAGTGGATGGATTTTTGCAATGTAAGCACAAGAGGCCAAAGCTACACAGCAGCTGGTTTTGGCATCTTCCTTGCCTATGGAGAGTGCCAGGAAGCAGTTAAGAGCGCTCTCCCCTGCAAATCAAGGGGACATGTTCCACCACTTGAAGGAGAAGGGCTTCCTCCGAACGTTGGTGCCACAGTGAATCTCACCGAGGTTTGTGTGGTAGGTTTCAAAGTCATCGATGAAGGTGCAGGACAGCCCCAGTGGCTCCATCAGGCTACGGACCTTCTCTTCCAGGCAGCACTGCTCATGAATAATAGGTCCAAAAGGTTTGGGGATGCCCAGGTATTTCCCCAGGACGAGCATATTCACCTGCAGGCAGAAGGCACAACATGCATGAGGCTCTATGGATCGCTTCAGAGTTTGGAAAAGGTACCCATTTTGGGAAGGATGCTCTCTGGAGGATTCTGACAGATACGGTCCAGAAATTATTAGGCAAACATTGCATTTGTGGTCCTGGCTGGACTTGTGTCAAGTGGATGGGGAAAGGTTTGAGGTGGTGGATAATTTCCCTTCCTGCGTTTCTAAAGAGAGCTTCTCCCCAGGGCCTTACCATGTCTGGGAAGTAAGCATTTGCTTTGCCACAACTGGACGAAAACAGCTGAGGAATATCAATGATGTCTTCCTCAGTCAGTTCCAGCTCCTCTTTGAGGACCTCTCTGTTCCAGTCAATGCATTTCTGGAGGAGGAGAAGGGGGAAAAAAAGACATATCCTGAGGGATCAGGAGAAGAGGTTCATGGCATGAATGGTTCTCTCAAGTTTTTTTTTTTCACGTTTTCTCTCCCAGCAGTCGTAACAAAAAATTACCTGGAAATAATCATTGCAGCTCCTCAAGCATTTGTCACCAAGGATCTTTCTTATTGAGACTTGCTTCTTTTTCTTCAGTCCTGTGATAAGAGACACGTTGGCTCATTTGTTGATATAATGGTGTTTAAGGCTTTTGTTTCATTTTAAAAATGTTTAACCCTTATTGTTATTTGTTGTGCATTTTTGACATTTTATTTGGTACCTGTTCTATATCTTGTTGTTCTGTCATTGTTGTTTATATTGTTGTAAACAACCCAGAGTAGCCTTGTCCACCAGATGGGCGGTATAAAAATCAATCAATCAAATCAGTGCTTCAAAGCACATGAAAGCAGCTGAGATGTGAAGACTGTCTTCCTCTAAGGATGAGGGAGCACAGAACAAACCCTATGAAGCAGAGTTGTGCCCAGTCATTGTACTGAGTATCCTCACCTTCCTTTCTGCATGCAGAAGCACCAGACACCGAAATAAACTCAATTACTTCAGGTTTATCCAGTAGAGTTCTCTGGAACTGAAAAGTTGGTCCCTTTTCCTTCCTGCTCCCGAGGGTTTCCCTGCCTTTCAGAACACGTCTTTTGAGCAGATCAGAGGCTGCCAGGTGAAGGACGCCTTGGATCTTGACTTTTATTTCCAACCCTACTCTCTTAGACCTGAGATACACAGCCAGGAGCCGGTGAGAAGGGGAAGCTCACTTACCCTCAAACATCAGGGCATCTCCATAGCCTTCCTGTTCCTTCTCCCTTAGAAGTTTGAAGCAGGCACTTGGGCTGGCCAGGAGTAGCCGGAAACCCTGGAAAGAGTGAAGGGAGTGGAAAGGGAGATCAGCTGACTGCTGGGCAAAGAGAAAGGGCAGGACGCGGCCCGACATGGTGAACAGTCAGGGCCAGACTGGGCAGCGTGCCTTGGGAAGCTTGCCCTTTTTGGGACACAACTCCCAGCCAGCGTGGCTATGGTTAGCAGCCTTGTGGATTTGATGATGCATTTCCCTTGAGATATTAATGCAACCCCACAAATCTTAAAATATTTCTTAATGTTTAAGGAGGACATGTAATGCATACCTTTCTGTCAGAGGCTGGAACGAAGGTGAGAAACTCATCCACGTGCCCAACTACCAGCCAGTCAGAATACAACTCGACTGGAGATTGCACTTGCTGGGCGTTCAGAAAGTCCCGAACCACTTGGACCATCTCGTGGCCCTGGGGGCTGGTAAGCGACAAAGAGGGGTCAGTGTTTGTTTAGGGTTCTGTCAAGAAGGTGTCCTCCCGGGGGGGGGGATTAGGAGATTCTAGCCTCATAAGAGAGGAAAACCATCTTATCTTTCTCTCTTTTTTCCTTATAAGAGTGACTGGCTTTCCTACTGTGAAAGTGCCAGGCAGCCAAGCTCATTTTAAGCCTGCGCGTTCCTCAACCTTGCTTTCTGAGCAGCTCCGGAAGGTGAGCCAGGTTGCATCCTCGTAGCCTTATATTAAACTGCTGTATTGCAGCCAAAACTGCTCACGACCTGGGGTTCGATCCCAAGTAGCCTTCTATTCTTCTGAGGTCAGTAAAATGAGTACCCAGCTTGCTGGGGTGGGGGCAATGAGTAGCCTGCATAACTAACTTGTAAACCGCCCAGAGAGTGCTTGAAGCACTATGGGGTGGTATATAAGCAGTACGCTTTGCTTTGCTTTTGCCTTCCCCCAGTGTTAGAACCCAAGACAAAGTACAAAATGATTTTTATATTTAAACCATTTAGGTTTAAACTCATTACAGTCATTTTAAGCAATTCTGGTTGAAATTTAGAAGTATAACACTTTGACAAATGAAATGAATTGAATTTCATGTATCATTTTTAAGATCAAGAGATTAGATTCTCCTTAAGAATTTAATGTTAATGTTTCAACAGTGCCATCAACAGTTTCAAGGTCTTGGTGGTCCCAGAAATGCAATATAGGATAGTCTATAATTCCTGGACCAGGCATGCCTTTACTTTCTGTGCTGGGGCTAAACAGTGGTCCAGAAGGTGGCGTTTTCAGCAGCCTTCAAGGGCAAGATTAGCAAACAGGCCAGCTCTCTGGCGAACCACCCAAGAGAAAGAGGGTTGTTTTCTATTATCAAGCCAGAGGCTCTTCTGCTATCTCCATGCTTACCTGGGAAAGTGGCTCCCAATGAGGATTCGTCCCAGTGGATACTCCTTTCCTTTGACGTTCACTGGAGGGCTGACTTCAAGGTTCCCAAAGGAGTCCATGCCAGAGATTTTTTTCCCATCGCTGGGTTCCCGGGTCACGTAGCCAAAATCCTGGCCCTGGCATGGAAGGAAAAGACAACAACATCAGATCCCAGCGATAGCATTCAGAAAACGTGTCTGTGTTCATTGCCCTTAAGAAACTGAATCAAGAGGCAGCAGAACAATGTTAGGCAAAACCAAATCAATGTTTAAGTTATGTTTTAAAAGCTATTTGTTTTTTAAAAAATCCTCTGATGTGCTTAGTTTTGTGGAAAGGGCAGGTATACATTTATTTTTAAAAGGAAGTAATTGTATAGCAGCGTAAGGAGAGAGAAAAACATAAATTTCATTTCTTTGTACTGGTGGCAGTGGGATATCATGAGTTAATGGCAATGCAAATGACAGTGTTAAACACAACAGTGGAGGACCAAGGTGTTAAAACATATAGAGATGCGCACACATGCCTACCAGAATTGCCTTGAATGGAAAATTCTTCAGCCCTCTATTCCTTGGGGAGTCGAAGACCACAGGAAATGTCTTGTGGGGAGCTTGCACGTACCCAAACTCCATCTCATCCTGTTCAGCAGGAAAAGAGAAGCTTATTAAACCCCCCTCCTCTGACCAGGCTCGTGAGCATGAAGACAAGTATTTGGGTATCCATGAGGATGATGAGGTTTTCTCATACAGCAACCAAATTTCAGCCAGCTGGCTTCTAGGGAAATTACTCTTGGTGATTCACTGTACCAAATCCAGCCATTTTTAGTTGAGTGAATGGACTTTCAAGACAACTCCAGTTCTCTGGAGAACAGGTTCACAACCTTGATTCTCCAAGCACTGTCACACTGCAGTTCTCAAAATGTTTGACCCTTGGCCAAACTTTATAGGAGACAAATAATCTCTGTGTGGGAATTGTTAGCCTTGAAGCAGGCTCCTCCATCAGCTGAAGGAGGAGTGTCTTCAAATCTCTATGGAGCAGTAAAGACTAGGAAACGGAACCACTACCCGCATACTACTTGTGGTACACTTGCCCGGTGAAGATTTGGCATCAAGTTGATTGTCCCCTTAGCAAATGCTTTACCCTTCCCTTCCCCCAAATCACCTGGATCCACCGGTCATTCCCATTTTCTGTTTCTGGGCAAACGATAAATTTGCATCCGGCTTTCAGGGCGAGCTTGCTCAAGTTGGCCAGAAAGTCAGCATTGCCTTCAATACTGGAGATTGAAAAGAAAAGATAGAGCCAACCAAGCCAGAAAGAAAGATTCAGAATTGGGGGGAAAATGATCCAGACATTCTAGAAATACAGTAACTAAGCTCATGGGTTGAAGTGGGTGGGTGGGGATGTATTCTGGGAGTTGTAGTCTCAAAAAGTAACTTTTAAAAATCTCTGCTCTCCCAGATGGGGTTTAGAAAACAAGGACAAATATTTCTGAAGAAAAGCTTACATCACAATGTTGATCAGACTCTTGACTCTATGTCCTGACTTTGGCACACAGAATTCCGCGCCCACTTACATAAACACACACTTTTCCGCCAGCCCTACCCTTAGGCAAAGAGGGCTGGTCACCAGAGACAACTGGTTTTGAATGCCATGGAAGAGAACCGAAGTATTAATGATTTAATTGATTATTTTACTGCCTGGAATGAAGACACACGCTTGCATTTTCATTTTCCTTGTCCATAATAGCTGGGTTGCCTTTGTGCTTTGAACAAGGTTGGAGGCGGCACCAATGGCTACTCTGCCTCAGGCAGCGAAATGCCTTGAGCTGGCCTTACCTAATCTCTTACCTGCAGACGTAAAGGGCAACTGGCTGCAAAGTGTTGGGAGTCATTATCCACGGAGCAATCCGGAAGACCACTGTGTCATTGAAAACTGGAGCCTTAGGAAGTTCCTGTACTTGGCAAAATGTCAGGGAGATCATGTGAGTACCTTTTCCCCTTTTCGGTGGAAAGGTCAAATATAAAGAAAGTTAAAAGAAAATTAAAAAAAGCTAAGGACCACAAAGGACATTTGCAAGACAGGTTCAACCGTAGGTTCTTCAGAGGTAGGAAGCTTAAGATATAACTCCTTGAAAGAAATCCCTGAAACTTCTAGGGTTCTGTGAAGCGACTAGTCCATCATAGCCAATTTATAAATAGCAAATGATGAGGATATGGTAACCATTTCCATATAGACAGAAAGGTTGCATTTGATCAACTGAGGGTGGGATTAAAAAACTGTGGGGCATAGATGGAGGGTCAGGCTCTTGAGGTTAAATTAGACAGTACCATGAACACATTGCTAGAAGCCGAGCTTCTGCATGTGCAGAAAGGCATCCATTTGTGCTTTCATTCTACTCATGCAAGTGAATGCTGTTTTGTGATTGACCAGTAGAAGGAAGACATGGGCTTAATTTGCAAGCCTGATCACCCAAGTTCTAAAGACTGGCATCACACAGTTTCCCTAAATATATAGTTTGACTCTTGGACCCATGCTGGTTACCAGCCTCTTCCAGAGCACACTGTTCTTCCTGAGATCCTGTTTGCAGGGCTGTATAGCTGATCCTCAGGCTCTCGCGTGCACCCCCCAGCCACAAAACTATCAAACCCCTGATAGATATGAATCTCACACCCCCATCACTCTTCAAGTTATCTCCATTTGGCTCTTTCATACCTTTGTGGTGGCTTCGATTAGTGTGGCATGAACAGACACAAGCCCCGAGAAGCCGACATCTGGAAAAGCCAGCCCTTCCACGTAGAAAATGTGTTCACTTTGTTCACTGCATACGACTGGATAGGAGAGCTTCCCAGACCCCAGGACGTGCTTGTGTTGACTCATTTTTTTCCCTATAAAACCAAACAGACCCTCTCAAATATTAAAAAATATTTTCCCCTCATCTGTTCTTGTTTGGTTTATCTTTTTTTTTTTAAAGCAAACTCACCATCACCCAATCAGCTAGTTTTAGTCCAAGTGCCCTTGTATGCTTTGTTAAACTAGGAGAACTACAGGACCTACAGAACATCTTCAGTTCCTTTCCCTCTGTAAACCTAACACATAATTTCCCTTGAAAAACAACTAGTCCATCTGTTCAGACCTGGCTCTTGGTTGTTTTGTTTTGGTTTGTTTGTTTGTTTTCCTTTTTGGAAGCAAATTCGCTATTACCTGACTGGTTTCAATCCCAGTCCCTGTACATATGTATAAACCTGTGAAACCCACTGTTCTCAGATGTGGCTCTTGGCCCTAGCTGAGGTTGTTTTTGGAAAGAGAGGACTAGACAAGTCCCTGGAGAAGAGCAAGAAGTCACTCAACAGATGTAAGCCATGGGAATTAATAGATCCTCTGTGTTCAAAGGCCACTCAGCTCTAAAAAAAAAAACAGATCTGCTCATGCAAGGTTGGCATATGACCCCCTAAATGCATTTTTATGGGCACTGAAGATACTAGTTGCAGTTTGGTCCAGCAAACTCTTTTTAGGTTCTTAGCTATAAGTGAGGAAAGACTGGACAGAACCTCACGCCCTTCATCCTTTGGCTGCTACAGGAAGAGCAGCATTAAAGAAGAAGGTTGACACCATGGTTGCTTTCATGCAGACAAAGAAAAGCTGGTTAAGATCCGATTTTTTTGTTCTGTTCACCCACCTTCTCTGCCTACAGGAAAAGACCCAAACAGTGTTCCCTCATGGGCCAGATCCTGGCATGGGCTTGACAACCCCACTTGAGCTACAAGACTCACCCAGTGCATGAAAGATACCCAGTCTGTCACTGTCCACGGCTGAGATGTGAAGGACCAGCTGGTTGTCTTCGAAGATGTCATCAGGTCCGTGAGCGGTCAAGATCATGAGTGACATATCCCTTCGGTCTGAAAGGGAAAGAAGTAGGTTGCGGTTACTGCTCAATGATAGAGTCCTTTTCTGCAGACAGAATGTCCCAAGTTCAAACCCCAGCATCTGCAGGTAAGGCTAGAGGGGAAGGCCCAGCTGGAGTCCTAAACAGCTTCTGCCGGTCAGTGTTGACAAAACTGAACTATATGAACCATGGGGAAAGGCTGTGGCTTAGCAAGAGAGCAAACGGCTCGCCTACAGAAGCCTCTTAAGTTTGGTCAGGCTGGGCAAGATGCCACCCGTGGACAGTTCCTGACTGAACCCCGAGGCTGCCTCTTGTATTCTGGTGATCCTATTTCTCATGCAAGCAGCCCAAGAGGTGAAAGCCAGCAGTTGGGCTGAAACCAAAGATGCTGTCCTGTTCAAAGAGAAAGGGGGGTTTGTCAAAGTATCCTTGTTTCCTTTTTTTTAAAGGCAGCCTAAAAAAAAAAGAAACCAAATAAAAGCCCCATCGAAAAGCATTCTGGTTTCAAAGAAAAGAAGGGAAACCCCATCAAAGATGGTTCCAAAAAACGACAACGACAACAACTAAGGTAATATAGAACTTCAATGGGAATTTAATCACTTTAAATGGAGATGAGCAAGAGACACTTGGTGATGCCAGGAAGGTGGCAACCGGGACAGGCAGAGGAGGCTAGACCAGGGGTTCCCCACCTTGGTCCCTTAGATGTTCTTGGACTACAACTCCCAGAAGCCTTTACCACAAGCTGTGCTGGCCAGGATTTCTAGGAGTTGTTGTCCAAGAACATCTAGGGACTCAAGGTGGGGAACCCCGGTCTAGAATATGACTCCTGAAAACTTGGGTTAGGCCTATGCCTTTTCCATTGTAAGGGCTGAGCACAACGTGTGTGTGTGTGTGTGTTGTCCACCCCCTGGCTCATGTCTGACCTGCTACTGACCCATGAATGACTGTAGCTTTTTATCTTGGTTGTCCATGTCCTCTTCTTCGGGGTCATCTCTGTCACAGTTCACCAAGAGGATGGCTCCTGTGCCATCTGGGCCCCACGTCCAATTTTTCTGCAAAAGGGGAGCATTGATGTCAAGGATTAGCACCCAGAGTACCTGTCATCTGATTAACTTGATCTTAACAGGAATGGGGCAGGGGAAAATGTTTTCTATTAAGCAATGGCATAATCCTTTCCTTGTTTGTGTTTCTGTGGTTAGATACCCATCCTTATGGCGTAATTCTTTGAGTGATGAAATTGAGATATGACCACAAGAAATCCAACTGTTAAACACCAAGACTGTATTTCTCGAGGATGTAGTAAAGCAAACACGTATCTCTCTCTCTCCCTCGTATGCCCCACCCTTGTGATCTTAGATTATTATTATTCTGTCGGTCTATCTATTGGAAATATTTGTTCTTTGCTTTTCTTCCCAGCTAGAGCAAAAGGCATTTTAAAAATCAGAAACCATGTGGGGGGAAAAAAAAGTTTTGGCTGACCACCGAAGTGCAGCAAGGGTGGAGCCCAGCTGGCTTCCCTTGGGAAGAAGCGATCTCAGTTACAGTGCTAGAGAAAGCCCTTCTCTCATACCCTCACCCTAACCTCTCTGGGTGACGAGACATGTAACAAGACCTTTGTTAAGATCTCAAATTGCAGGTACTCACGGGAGGAGTTGGTCTTTCAAGCACTTAGGTGAAAACCAGAACTTTAAATTGGTCTTGGAAACTGAATGGAAGCCAGGAAGGTTGGTTCGAGTGCAGTGACAAGGGGTCCCTAAAGCACCCACCAAGCAACAGCCTAACAGTCACCAGCTATAACATCTGGATGTGTTTTCAAGGCCAGTCCCATGTAGAGCATGCAATGCTACTCTGATGGGGAGGTAATGAAAGTATCTCTACTCCAAATCTGCTTTCCTTAGGGAAGAGAGACAGCAGAGGTCACTCACCCGGGGCTCTGGTCGTACCTGCCCTCCTTCGACTAACCTGCGCCCAGGTTAGGACCATTACCCCTCCTCACCTGGTCAGGTTCTACCAGCTGCTCCACTTCAGCCTTTGTCTGATGCTGAGTAAGGATCCCTTCCAAACAGATCCACTCCCAGACCTATGACGCTGACTCAGCAAGAACCTTGAGCCCCAGGAAGAGACGGGAGCGGGATTGCCATCCTTGCTGTTGTTCTTTAATGTGAATTATACATTGTGCAGAGCATTTTTTTAAAAAGCAGATTTAACTTCCCTCTAGCTCAGAATCTAAGACAGAATCAGGGAAAACCTCCCGCCCGCCCCTGGACCACCTAAGGTATCTGAATGTTCCTTCAAACGGGGAAGTTCAGAGTTTGGAAATAGTGGGTTTTTGGATTACAGCTCACATAATCCCACGGAAGTACAGGGATTCTGAAAGTCATCACCTGAAAAAGGTAACTTTTCCAACCTCGGTAATGATACTTTTGGAGCTCATGATCTTGAGCCGAGGATGTTTGAGGGAAAGAACAGCTAGAACGGTGGCACCCTTTTTGGAAGTATTTTTACTGCCGCTTATGCTTTGTCGTCTGGTGCTTTAGGGCTACTTTGCCAGGTGGGAAAGCCACCTATACTTACACGTTGATGAAAATCAATCATGCCTGAATGGTCAAACACACTCTCTCTACCATCTTCACCCTGGCCAAAGGTTTGGTCTCATTCTCACCTTATTTTTAGCTCTCCTGGTCACAGTTCCCAAACGGGTGGTATCAGCATGCAGGGAGATTTCTAAAAGAGAGAGGGGGGGGGGAACCCAAAACAAAATAAAACAATGGAATCCCAGTAACAGCCCACGACTAGTTTTTAAAATGTGTTTTTAACTGTTTTTTAATGCAGCTGTTTATTATTTTATAATTATTAGTGTATTAAATAATTTATCCTTTCTACTTCTAGGTGGTGGAAAAGTGATATACAGTCATAAAAGAGAATAGAACCAGTTTCCAACATAAAATCATTTGAATCAAATAAAACCAAACCATTAAATAAATGTACAAACAGGCAGAATCACTCCAACACCATATGCAACATCAGTTTCTTCATACTCTTTCCAAACGCGTTGATGATGGAATCTGTTCAAAGCCCTGAGGGTCCATATGATAATTTATTGTGCTTAATATTAAAACTTACCTGTATCTCTATTTTTATCCATACAATGAGCCACCTTGGGTCCCAAGGTGGAAATAAGTAAAATAGGCTAAATAGGACACCCCGATTCCCATTGGTACTGACATTCAGGAGAAATTTAGACTACCTTTTGTCTGGTCTACTTTGAGCAGGACACAACACTCGATGGCCTTAGAGGCCCCTTCCAGCTCCAGGATTCTAGGATTCTGTGACTGGTACTGCAGTAACACTGCAGATTGCCTAGCTTAACTGCCTGCTTCAGTATTCATTTCTCACAGGGGAAAATGACAAATGACTAGTGACAGAGACCCTCTCCATCTTCTCCACATGTTAAATAACGGAGGCAGTCCCATCCCCATATATCAGCCTCCCTTCCCACGAGGCAGCTCAATTTCTCTTCTGCCCAAGCTCCCAAGTTGCTGACTTACCGACGCAGGTGAGCTGGAGAATAGCTTTGGCCACGGGCGCCTTCCCGTTTTCCTTGTAGTATGAAATTCTGACCTGTAGGATGTCACTGAGGTCAGTTAACTTGTTGTGAAAGCTAATAAACAGTATATATTTACAGCCACTGGGTAAATTCACAGGGTTTCACTCACAAGGTCCATCTATCATTCCAGATTTCACTTGGAAAGAAAATTGGGTCCTTTTCTGCCATCTTCCAGCCAAGGAGATCATGCAGGCATATGTGATTCTCTCCTGCTACCAATGTTATCTCTATAACCTGCCTCTGAGGTCATTAGCTGAAGGTGGCTAATGACCAGGAAGGGCCAGCAGGAAATGGAGAAAAGTCGGGAGTCTCCTGCCACTGCACCATGTAAGCTTTCTAACCAAAAATCCTTTCCTTCTTTGAATAATTGCATTTGCTAGGATTTTCAGTGGTGGAGGGAAATTATCCCGTATCTGGAGGCTTGATTGGCCGCTATAGGCCTCAAGCACAATTTTAAACTCTTATAACTCCTCCTTAAATGTTCCAAATTTTGGCTTCAGTCTTTCTCACCTTGTCTTCATCCACCTGAGAACTCGGAGCATCCATCGTGACAATCACCTCCATCCTAGCATCAAGGGGCCACCGAGGCACACAGGAAGGTATTTTCAAAATCTCTGCATTGTGGATGATGTACAGGTTAACACCAGGTGTCCCCCACACGTCGAAGGCTGTAGCACCAGTAGGGGCTGACCTGAAATGGACCAGAGAGAGAGGGAGAGAGAGGCCCTTTTAGGAAGCTGTTCCATTTGTATGTCTTTACTTATAACATGCCCATCCTACCAAAGATTTCAAGATGGCACACATGGTCCCCTCCATGCGTGCCACTTTGGTGCACCCTGTTTTATTTTCACATCAGCCCACAGAAGCAGGCATGCTTCTACCCAACGGTTAAGACCATCCTTGAAGGTCCTCCCATTCACAGTTGTGTGACAGACACAACCACCAAAGAAACAGCCTAAAGTCCTTTCACAAATCTTCCCCCTCCAGAAGAGATTCATCCTTAATTTGTTGTTTTTATTACCAGCTTCACTCCTACTTTTTTGGTATCTTAATATTCCAACATTTTAATACTGGGGTTGGCCAGCTAATTTGTACCAGTTGCTATTTCATTGACTGTTTTGTGTTTTAAGGATTGCCTCATACCTGGAGGGCATCTGCTGCGTGGGCGGTATATAGATGAGTTGGTAGATTTAAGTCCTTGTATCTTCCTTGTAAAAATAATTGGTTATTAAGCAAGGATTCATTTCCTATTACTGTATAATGCACAGCTTGGTTCCTTGGCAACAGTGCCATCCTAAGAAATTTTGCTGTCTAAAGCAAAGCAGCAAGTGGGGCCTCATCCACCAGGTCAGTTCTTAACTCTGCCTTTAAAATGGAAAGTCCCACAAGGAACTTTTCTCATCCATGGCAGTAAAAATTAATAAGAATTAAACAAATAACCATTTGCTGCAGTTTCTTGGCTACTGTACCTCGTTCTACTTGGAGCCCTTCTCCTTCCAGGGCCCCTGATTGTTCTCTCTGCGTGGTGCAATGAGAGTTGAATCCTACTGGCTAGACTGGAAACATAGCTTGTTTGGAGTCCAGCCCCCAGCTCTGGGAGTTGTAATATAAAAAAATAACTTTTCCAAGCTCTGGATCATCCTTTAGGATCCATACCTCAGCACTCCATCCACACCATGAGGACTGACCAGGATGGATAGAGTTTTGCTTTTCCGTTAACGTTTTTTTGGACCAGAAAGCCCCTAAGCACGGTTTACATCCTCAGCAACCTGTAGGGTAGTCACTTACGTGCCAAGGGGAAGAGGAAAGAAAATCAAAGAGGAGATTTAGTTCCACCAAACTGCAGCTGCAAACTTAGAAGGTGTGGATGCAAACTTACAAGGGTTTTTTTTTACAATTTATACAGAATGACAAAGCATCTCAGTGAAGTGAGGAAAGCTGTGTGACCAGGAAAGCTGCTGAGACAGCTGCTCAGGTATCGCTACCCATGGACTTCAGGCCCTCTGAGCATCTTCCTTAAGTTTTTTCTCTCTCTCTTAAAATCACAGTTAAAACACTTTACAGACTGTCCTTTGTCTGCGAGGATCAATGGCCGCTGTTGAGCAGAGAGGCTTTAAACCCCAGCATTGCGGTTTAGGGTTGGGTCCGTCCCTGGTTGCTACCTGTGACAGCTTCCTCCTCAATGGGTTCCACCAAATTTTAAACCTCAGACAGGTCTGTTGAGCAGAAAAACCCTCACCAGGTGCTGTGCCAGGAAACCAGAAGTTGCAAAACAGGCAGGGCCCAAAACCCTTCCCCCTCTGCCTCTCTCCAGTCAGTTCCACTCACCTTGGCCCGGCTCCTCATCTTTCTGGAGAAGCCCCTGACAAAAAGGCTGGGGTTGACTTACAGGCTAGCAAGACTATTATTGGGTTATAAAAGGCCTCGTGGCCAGACAGGGAAAGAGGCAACTTCCAGCGTGAAGCATAAAACCCAGGGATGGGTAACACCTGGTGATTTGAAACCACTCCGTCAATATAGTTGCTTGTTAACCTCTAATGATGCCTGCAATGTATCTGAAAAGCTGGAAGCACCCTGGGCTGTTATGGCTGGCATATCCTGTCTCAAGAGCAGCTTCTTATTACCACCACACGGATTAGATCAGGCTGATTTGATGGCCAGGCTTGTTTCGAGAACCTTCTCCTTGTCCTT